TCCTCTGAATCTTGCTTATCTTCCTTTGACCCAGATTAGCCTGGTGCCTGGTGGAAGGTTTTCTTAGTGAAATCAGTATAGTGGCAGTGGCCCTGTGATGCAGCTGCAGTGGCACTGTGCACGGGCCAGTACATGGCTAGTTAATTTTAGTCTTTCTTTTTTTTTTTTTTTTTTTTGTTTGGTACCATGAATTGAACTCAGGGCCTTGTCCTTGCCAAGAAGATGCTGTGCCACCGAGCTGCATCCCTGGCCCCAGTTAATTTTATTTTTTTCTAGTTAATTTTAAGTGGAAGCAGTAGGTTCAGTTTTCTTTGATTTGTTGTATAGCAGAGATGATTGCTAAGGCCCAAAATAGTAGCACATCTTGAAATCACTTTTGTTTCTATGTAAAATTGTGTTTGTTTTCAAGACATTCACCTGCTTCACCCCAACTCATCTGTCAAAGTGCAGATATACATAGAAAGACACTATATAGTTAACACATGAGGAAAGTCCTCATGGATGGAAACTATAAAAATAAATAATAAACTAGGCATGGTGGCACATGTCTGTAATCCCAGCACTTGGAAGGTTGAGGGGAGTAGGATTACTGAGTTCAAGGCCAGCCTGAAGTACTCATAAAACCAAACAAATTTAAAAGTGGTTGGGAGTTAATGGATTGTGTTCAAAATTTGAGCATTTAAAAGAATTATTATTGCTGTCCTGTAGGACAGTGCTGCCTAATAGCTATTGAAGGTGAGTTCTGTACCTTAAAATTTTCTGAAAGTTGTTTTTTTTTTTTTTTTAAGAGCAGATGAAGAAGCCAAGTGGGGCATGAGTATAATCTCCAAGCACTCTGGGAGGCTGAGGCAAAAACAGCTGCAAATTTTGAGCTCAGTCTGCGCAACTTAATAAGATGTTGTTTCAAGTTAAAAATTTGTAAAAGAACGGATGAAACATCAATGTGAAGTTTTTGGGTTGAGTCTCCAGTACTGTAAAAAGGAGTCATTACAGCCAAGCATGGTGGCACATGCCTGTAATTACCAGCACTCAGGAGGCTGAGGCAAGAGGATTGCCATGAGTTCAAGGCTAGCCAAGAGTGCATAGCGAGACCCTATCTTTTAAAAAATAAGTCGTCCTCGTTTCCAAAAATAAAAAGGTACAAAGTACTGGGACTATAGCTCAGTTGCAAGGCCCTAGTTTCAGTCTTCAATGCTGAAAAGAAAAAAAAGTTAATTATAATGATTTTATTTATTTATTTACTTATTTGTACTGGAGATCGAACTCATGATTGTGCACTTGAAAGGCAGGTGCTTACGCTGCTGAGTTAAATCCCAAGCCCCTCATTTAATGTTTTTAACATTTTCATCTTAACGGAGAACTGATATAAAATACGAAGATACTATATTCTGTTTCTTGTAGTGAGTGTTTGAAATCCTGTATTTATTTTTATTTTATTTTATTTTATTTTTTGTCTTTTTCATTTTTATCGGTACCAGAGATTGAACTCACGACTGCCTGCTTACAAGGCAGGCGCTTATGCCGCTGAGCTGAATCCCCAGCCCTGAAATCCTGTATTTATTTTTATACCAGTTCTGAACAGTCAACATTTTGAGTACTCCATACCCTCAGATACACAGTTCACGATGAGGGCCTTGCAGAGCTTGACTAGCATCCCTTTGGTTCAATCCCTAGTCATCCCCCACTGCCCCACAGCTACTTAACAAAGGAATCAGTAGACCAATATGATTAGATTATTACCCTGCTATGTTCCAAACATGAAGCAATAATCTGTTAACATGTAACAAAATAAACTTGCTTGTTTTTCTCCTGTAAATCTTTGAGATAGACTTGTTTTGGGAAGAGGATTATTATAAAGACTAGTGTCTAGGGGGCTGGGGATTTAGCTCAGTGGCATAAGCGCCTGCTTGGCAAGCAGGCAGTCGTGAGTTCGATTCCTAATACCGATAAAAACAAAAAAGACAAAAAAAAAAAAAAAAAAGACTAGTGTCTATAAAAGATAACATGCAGCACTGGGACTTTAGCTCAGCAGCATAAACGCCTGCCTTGTAAGCACATGGTCGTGAGTTCAATCCCCAGTACCAAAAAAAAAAAGATAACATGCAGCTATTTTTCCTGATATTATCATAAACAAGCTTTATGCTGAATTCCACAAAACCAGTTAATTGTTGTGATTGGCTACTTAGCTTAGTTGTAATAATGACAACTAGAATAAAACCATGGATCATTAGGCAACATAGATTATAGTGTCTTTATTATGTTAGAAAAGCTGAGCGTTCCTCTAAGAAATGAGAGGAAAATATTCCCCAATGATAACGCATACTAATTTAAAATGGGAACTAAAATTGCTGTTACCCTCCCTGAGGGACATAGAAGAGCCTTTGGGGTGAATTGAAGATCCTTTAAGCTGCCAGCTATGCTGTTCATTCTGTTTCCCTAATGATGAAACACTAATCACATAGATGGTCTTGAGTTTAATAGATATACTTCAAGTGAATTCACAGAAGACATCATAGGTTACCTACACACGGAATACTGTGATGAAAACGTAAATGAATGGCTCTGCCTGCTGTTGAGTTTTTCCTGCTAATGGCTAGAATTGGAGATTTGTCTTTCAAAGTGATTGAATATGACCTTTTGTCTTGTGTCTTCCTTAATAATATGATGCTTATTTCTGGTGTATTTTTTTTGTTGTGACACATAACAATTTAGCTAGTAAAATGAAAAACATTATTCTGTGCAGGATGATACCTAATTACTCATTACTTACAGACAAATAAGTGGCAAGAAAAATACATAAACATTGCTGTCTGGTTGCTTTGGGTCAGTAGCCAAACATAGTAATGTAAAATACGAACTTTGCTGGGTACTATGCACATAGATATAGTACTTATTTCTCATGGTCTTCCTGTGAAGTGATGGTTACATTAGGAAAATGAGAGTATTTTGTCCAGCTAATTGGTGGCCGAGGTAAGATTTGCACTCAGTTGGGTATGGTGGTGCACGTCTATAATCCCAGCATTCTTGTGGAGTTGAAGTAAATTAGGAGATTAGCATTTTTTAGCAAGACTTACCTCAAAGTAATGAGGAACCAGAGAGGGTGGTTCATGCCTATAATCCAAGCACTTTTTTTTGGTACTGGGGATTGAACTCATGAGGTTACGCTTGCCAGGTGGGTGCTTACACTGCTGAGCTAAGTCCCTGGCCCATTCTGAGCACTCATGGAGGCTGAAGCAGGAAGATTGCAAGTTGAAGCCTGGCTCAGTGGATTCAGTATCCATTGCAAGGGGTACCTTGGTTTGCAAACTTAATTCTTTCCATGGGTTTGGTTGCAGAATTCATTCCACAATTCTGGTTGCAAGCTTACAAGTACCATTGTACTAGAAGAAAAAAACAAAAGTTTCAAACCTAGTTTTTTCTTACTGCCAAAGCCACTACTTGATTTGGCCGGTGCTATAAAGTGATTCTTTAGGACCCTGTCCATTTGGGACTTGGTCTTGTCTTTTTTTTTTTTTTTTTTTTTTTTTTTTTTTTTTTGTCTTTTTCGTTTTTATTGGTACCAGGGATCAAAATCACGACTGCCTGCTTGCAAGGCAGGCGCTTATGCCGCTGAGCTAAATCTCCAGCCCTGTCTTCTTTTATTGGTATATTTTAGATATAGTGATAACATTCATCACAGAGAATTGGTACCTATACATAATAAAACTTGATTCTTTTTTTTCCCCATCCCTCCCTTGACCCCACTTCCCTTCCTTTTTCACAAAAGCTTTGTTTTTTCCTTTCTTCCCTTCTTTACCCCCCCCCCCCATTGTTCCCCTTCTCATTTGAACATTTTTCCCCCTGGCCATTTTAGATTGATGATTTGCTTTAGCATATTCTTCTCAAGACATACCTTTACATACATTTTGAATGAATATTAAGAAAAACTGAATAGAACTTAGATTCTAGTCCCATCTTGGTTACTTGCTGTGTTGAAATTATGGGTTAGCTTTCCCCGGAATTTTTCTATCTGCTTTGGCCTTCCTGCACTATTCCTGGCCCTTCTTTATTTTTAATTTTTGGTCTGAGTGTCTAAGTTGCCCAGGCTAGCGTTGAACTTGGGATGTTTTTGCCTTAGCCTCTCAGTGCTGGGCAGATATGTGCCACAATACTGTTTCCTTTGGTCTTAACTATGAGATACGTGTACCATTACCATACACACACACACACACACACACACACACACACACACACATACATACATTTCTAGTTGAGAATAAATTCACAGAAAATTATGAAGATAGTAGTTTATTTATTTATTTTGTCTTTTTGAGACAAGGTCTCCCTGTGTAGTTCAGGCTGCCCTTGAATTCAGTGTGAAACACAGGCTGGCCTTGAACTCCCAGCAATCTTGCTTCACCCTCCCAAGTGCTAGAATTATAGGTGTGTGCTGGATCAGTTTAATTTTTAAATGGAGAGAAACAGCAATTTGAAGGAGTAAGTTAAGGTGTTTACTAGCAAAGTTTTGTCATTGTGGTCTTAAGTTATTAATATTTTGTCTGTTGCAAACCTGTTCTCAAAGGTTATGTTTAAAGAAATCCTAGCTGAGTTCAAGGACAGTGTGGACTACAAAGTGAGACCCTGTCTCAAAAAATAAATAAAAAATCCCACTACATACCCTACATACCATTGAATGCAGTATTTAAAGCTTAGGCATTTTGGTACTAAATTTCAGAATAATTATGATTTCATAACATACATAAGTTTGTGTCTTTAAATTATTTAAGCATTAGAAATTCTCTCCAGGAATCATGCCTTCATCCTATAGGAGGATGCTTAATGCACAGGTGGGCACTTTCTACAAGTTGTAATTCTTTTTTTAAAAAAAAAATTTATTTTTATGTATGTATGTATTTATTTATTTGTCTTTTTTGAGATGAGGTCTTTTTTTTTTTTTTTTTTTTTTTATGGTTACTACTGCATTTATTTTCCTACAGCCTGTCTTCCCACAGCTTCAACACTTTTGCCTTAAACACAAAGTTTAGAACTGGATCACTTGGCCCTTCCTCTTCTTGTCTCCTCCTAGTTCAAAATGCTTGCATCTCTTAATGGCCAGCATCCTCTTCGATCTGCAGTTAGGTTCCACACACTCCAGCCTGAGCACAATCTTCTTGGTCGTTTTAGCCTTCTTCCGGAAAATAGGTTTCGTTTGCCCTCCGTAGCCACTTTGCTTCCGATCGTAGCGCCTCTTTCCTTGGGCATACAGGGAATCCTTGCCCTTCTTGTACTGGGTCACTTTGTGAGGCTGATGCTTGCCGCACTTCTTACAGAAAGTCCTTCGGGTTTTAGGTACGTTGACCATCTTGGCAGTAAAGCGGTCGATAGATCCGAAGCCCTCACTCCTCGCCTCGAGATGAGGTCTTGCTATGCGTTCAGGCTGGCCTTGAGCTCACCTTACTTGCAACGATCCTCCCATCTCAGCCTCCCGAGTGCTGGGATTACAGGCGGGAGCCACCACGCCCGGCTTTATTTATTTGTTTTTTTTTTTTTTTTTTGCGGTACTGGGGATCGAACTCATGACCTCGTCCTTGCCAGGCAGGCACTTATGCCACTGAGCTAAATCCCCGGCCCCTGTAAGATTCTTTTTAAAATTTTATTTTAAAAAAAGGATAAAACAAAATAACAGAACAAAGCAGATCAGAAGAAAATAATGTAAGTGATACAGATTTCAAAATACGATAGCAGGAGATTTACAATGGCTACCATAATGTCTCTTAGGTTGTAAGAGCTTAAATTATTATTTTTTTAATTTTTAAAGAGAAAAATATATAACAATTTGAAAATATAGAGGGTAACAATAGTTAATACATTGCATATGGTTATCTTTCATTTAGAGTACAGGATATTTGCCTTTAATTGTCCAAACAATATTAGCACAACTCTTTCTTTTCAGTGAACCCAGTAATTAGTAGTATAACAATCTTAACTTGTGTGTGTGTGTGTGTGTGTGTGTGTGTGTGTGTGTATGTATGTATATACATTATTTCTTTCAGCTTCTCAAACTAGGGAGAACATTGTAATGTTTACATGTACAAGTCTGGTTTATTTCTCTTATAAGGATGGTCTTGCATCCATTTACCAATAAACATCTCAAGTTTAGCCTTCTTTATGAGTTATTAGTACTCCATTGTATAAAAATAGCACTTTTTTTTATCCATTCTTTGGTTGATGGACATTTTAGGTCATTTCCAACATCTACCTATTACAAATTGTGCTGCTATAAACATGGATGCATAAATATTGTCGTGGTATGGTGTTTTTAATTCTTCTGGGAAGATACGCAGAGAGGGGAATAGCTGGGTCAAATGGGACCTTCAGTCCTAGTTTTTTGAAGAATGTCTGCACTGATTTCCACAGTGGTTGCACCAGCCTACATTCCCACCAACAGTGGAAAAGGTTTCCTTTTTCCCCTCTACCCTCCAGCATTTGATTTTTTCTTTTTTTTTAAATAAGTGCCGGGGATTGAACTCACGACCTCCAGCATTTGTTATTGGTTGATCTTTTTGATAGTAGCCATTCTTTCCAGGTGGAATCTGTGTTGTTTGAATTTGCATCTCTTGAATGACCCGGTCATGTTGAACATTTTTTCATATATTTATTTGCTGTTTTTGTTTCCTCATCTGAGATGTATGTTTTCATCTCAGATGCCCATTTTTGGATTGGGTCTTTAAATGGGGAGATGTTTTTGTTTTTGTTTTAGTTCTTTATATGTTCTCTGTAATAATCCTTTGTCTGAGAAACAGCTGACAAACCTCTTTTCCCACATTGTGAGTTGTCTCTTTACTCAGCTGGTTTCTCTTGCTGTACAAAAGCTTTTTAATAAGAGATTTTAACATTAAAATGATATTGTTTACTGACTTACATGACAAAGTAATGTGATAGCTATTACTAGCAGAGTAAATGTCAGGCGTCCCTGATTTTGATTTCTTCAGGTCTTATGGGTGTGGGTGAGGCTTGGCAAAATGTTACCCTGGAGACACCACAGCTGCACTTGATGCTGTTTCTCTCTTTTCCTCTCCTTTTACTCGGGAGATGTCAGTCTCCAGAGGAAAGAATAAAATAGTAAACATGTTTAATATTTCACCTGGGCTCTACCTTCCTATGATGGTTTTCTAGAGATGCACACACCACAAAGGAGGGCCACTATTTTGCTTGAATCTCTATAATTGGTATATTTTGTGTTATCTTTATTTCAGTTATGTTGTTGCCCACTCACCAAGAATTTTGTACTTAACTGCCTTTAGTGACTGTGGAAATGTTACTACTTGACTGGAGCTGGTAGCAGTGGAGTTATATACTAAATAACTTGGCACTGATAGAGGAAATTAGAGTCTTGTGGCACTGAGATCAGTTTGACCATCTGTGCCTTTGAATAAGATGAGGAAGAAGTGAAGGTGATCTCGCTTTCTATGTAGGAGAACTGGTTAGGGCTGTAATGTATACTTATTTTTTTTCTGAGACTGTAGTCAACTGTTCTTATATGAAGAAAATAAGAAATCAGAAAGAGCCTGCTAGTTTGTCAAGGTCAGTGTCCACATGGGGCCAAATGGGAGAACAAATCAGATATGGTCACTGACTGATTAATCTTGTTTTTTTGGTCCATGCACAATTAGAGAAAATTATTTTTGAGACCTACTTTAAAGGGGAGGGTGTAAGAGATAATGCAGTTGACCATCCCCAATCTGAAAATCCAAAGTGCTCTAAAATGTGAAACATTTTTGCCTTTCTCCTACTATTCGCATATTCTATAAGCCTCACATCGCTCTATACAGTTATTTGCCCCACCCTTCCAGCCCAGCCTGTCTCTATCAAAAAAGTTTTAGCTCTGTAGCCCCCCTCTTGTAGGTGGGTTTTTTTTTTCTTCACTGTTTTCTCCTTTTTGTGGTGCTGGAAATCTAACCCAGATCTTTACATGCTAGGGAAGCATATCCCTATCTCTTTAAGATGAAAAGTTTTCAATTTTTACTTCATCTATTAATTACTAACACTTGGACATTTATAAACATATCGTGGATGTTACTCATTTGTACTTTTCAATATTTTAATACATCTTTAGAGGCTTAATTAAAATATTTGGCCCCTAGTCCCACCACCACCACGCACTATACTGATCTCAGAGCGCTATACTGATCTCAGAGCTCAGATGGTTCACAGTGAGCTATATCCCAAGCCCACCTCCCTCCGCTCCCCTCCTCTCCCTTCCTCTTTTCTTTTCTTATTTTGGTACCAAGAATTGAACTCACAAACTTACATGTGCTGGGCAGGTGCTTATGCTGGTGAATTATATATATCCCTGGTGCTTTTCTTTACTTTTTTTATATTAGGAATTGCACTCAGGATCTTGTGCTTGCCAGACATGCATTTTGTGCCTCTGAGCTGCATCCCTGGCCCATTTATTTAATTGTAATATGAGAAGTCAGTAAGTTGCCCACGCTGGGCTGAAATTTAGGAACCTTCTACCTCACACTCCAGATTAGGGCTGTAATGTATACTTATTTTTTTTTTCTTTTTCTTCACTGTCTTCACTTTTTTTCTTCACTGTCTAACTAGATTACTGATTTTATCTGTTGTTTTGATCATTAATTTCTGTTTAGAGTGTGGTATTTGTTGATCTTGTTTTGCTTCTAGATGGAGCCTATTTGGATCTATCTTATTGTTTAATCGAAATTAAACAATATTATTACTCCTTTGTGGTACTTCTGGTTCTTTGAGTTAACGTTGGGGTTTTTCTCATGCGACCTTGGAGTGATAATTGGACACAGGAATATGCACCTGCATGCCTGCCGTTGAGGGAGGCTGAGGTTAAAAAGATCACAGCACCTATGAGACCAGCCTGGGCAACATATTGAGACCCCCATCTCTTTATTTTATTTACTTCTGTTTTTTTAAGAAAAGTTTTCTAATGTGTTAATATTTCAGCAAAGATGTTGTGATGGTTTTAAAAAGCAGACACTGTTTGAGGCTATAAAGCTATAAAGGAGTTTTACATTTAAAATATTAGACCTATGGGATTTACTGAATAACTGCTAGATCCAGAAAAGAAATTAAATCTGAAAGGTTAAATCCAGTATTAGCACCTACAATATCTCTGAAAATAAAATTGTGTCGTTCTTTCATAATGTATTTCATAACTTTCTCTTAAATACAGTACTCTCAAACCCCCAAAAGAATTAAGGGCATCAGAAACCCAAAACTAAGCATGCAGACAAAAGAGCTACAAACAGACTCAGACTTGAGGGTTTAACTTGTAAGTCACTTAACTTTAACCAATCATAAGATTTCAGTGCAGTGAACACTGTATTTGAGAAGTCTGTGAAGCATATTGTTTGCCAATAGGGTTAAAAAGTGGCAAGTGGGAGATTGTGAGTTTGATCCCCAGTAACAAAACAAAAAACAGGCAATATACAGTAATAACCCTATCAGATTCTCCCTTCAAAAATTACAGTTACAACAAAACTATAGTTACATTATGTATTACACTTGTTTATTACACACTCAGGGACACAGCAAAGACATTTATGTGTTTGATGGTTTAGCATCCACTTCACTGTGCTTATTTGTATAATGAACGAGCAACACAGACCACCACTTCCCCACACTCAAGATAATGCAATAATATAAAAATCTCCAAAGAAATGAACTGGAAATTGTATTAAGTACTGCTTTATTTTTTTAAGTACTGCTTTAATTAGGAATATATGCTATAATGAAACAGTACACATGCATTATTTTCTTCATTGAGCTTCAGTTTAAAAAACTGAATAGCAGAAATCTTAGGATTTGAATCATAGCAAAGCAAATTGGGTAGTTCTTTGAAATCTGGGACCTATCCTAGCAAAACCACAAACGTATGTAACCTCACCTATAACAAAGCCTTTTATTAACTTGAATGAATCAGACTAAACACTGGCTAAGATAGGGCTTGTGAACTCAGAAACTACTGGGAAACTGGCCCAATGAATAAAATGGTACTGGTGTCAAGGAAGAAATGAAACTGCACTGGATAAACAACTTCATCTTTTAATAATGGCTCTGAATTTACAAAGTGGTTTCATTTTGTTTTCTCAGAAACAAATCAAAAGATTACAGAGTCCTACGTAATTTGGATGCTGAGCAACTAGAGGTCACCCCAGGTATGGAATTTTAGAAAGAGTCCTTGGAGTAAATGGCACCATGGCTCTGGTAGGAGATGCAGAAAAACGATGCTCTGGAGAGGAGCATCATTCAGTCAGTGGGTAGATGAAGATCCCAGCAGCAGGTGGGATCTTTATTTATTTATTTATTTATTTTGCCTTTTTCTTTTTTATTGGGTTCGGGGATCAAACTCATGACTGCCTGCTTGCAAAG